CATAGCAGAGATAATGTAAGTTAGAAAAAATAAACTACAGTCTCTATGCTGAACAGCAAATAAAATAGACTTAGGAACTGTTAACTAACCTTATGGTGGTAACCATTTTGCAATATATACCTGTATCAAATAATCACATTGCATATCTTCAACTTATATATGTTGTATGTCAGTAATGTCTGAATAAAGCTCAAAAAATAGGAAACAAAATAGACTTATTTAGTTACCATTGTATGAAGGGTTTGGGGATCTCTAGCTCTGACCTCATATAATTTGAAGTTAACATTTTGAAACACACGAACCTTGAATTTTTGCCCCGGCACACATTTTAATGTTCACATTCAAACAAATCCAAATGCCAAGGAGAAAATTTTCTGGCACCATGTTTGTTTTATATACAAATGTGTGCCTTAAGTATAATTAGGATATTATTTTGTTTTGGAAAATCAGGTGCATTTTCCTTTAAGAGTACCACTCGACGCCACAGGATGTAAAATATAGGCATGGGGTACAGAGTACATAAACTGCGCGGAACTTAGCTGCACAAGTTATGGGAAAAGCCTGAGATACATTCAAAGGCTCCTATAACATAGTCCATGACGACCTGGATGCCCGTTTGACACTCTGAGTACCATCAAGGCTGCAGAGGATGATCATGGAAGAAGAGGGCCTCCAGCACCTTCTATCAGGCAGATCCTGTTGTGTTGCTACTGTTACTGCATTGTAAGCATTGAACATACAAATGTTACCAATAACTTCTAAAAGTACTACGACATAGTGTGTTTAAAACATAGGTTACTTCAACCACAAACCTCATGTCTATTGATTAAAAATAGAAATACTACGCAGTTGCACTGGCATCAAAATTCAAAGGAGAATGTAAAGTAACTATTTTCATCAAAAAGCTCACGTGTGCACAATAGATTACTCCTATATGCAGATGGGAAGAAATGGAAGTCTTTGGGCAAAAGAAGTAAAACTAACAGGTTTGGCTGGGTTCTCACAGTGCTGGCCAATTTTTAAAAATTGAATTAGTTGGTGGGGCACCTGGGCAGCTCAGTTGGCTAAGTGTCCGACTTCTGCCCAGGTCATGATCTTGAGGTTTGTGAGTTCAAGCCCCGCATTGGGCTCTGTCCTGGAGCCTGCTTTGGATTCTGGGTTTCCTCTCCCCTCCCCCACCAGTGCTCTGTCTCTCTCTATCAAAAATAAATACACGTAAACAAAATTTAAGAAAAAAAATTGAATTAGTTGGGACGCCTGGGTGGCTCAGTTGGTTAAACGTTCGACTCTTGATTTTGGCTCAGGTTATGATCTCAGGATTTGTGAGATCAAGTCCCTGGTCCAGGCTCCACGCTGACAACAGGGAGCCTGCTTGGGATTCTCTCTCTCTCCCTCTTTCTCTCTCTTTCTCTCTCTCTCTCTCTGCCCCTCCCCTGCTAATGTTCGTTCACTCTCTTTCAAAATAAATAAATAAACTTTAAAAATTGAATTAGTTGCCAATATTTAATACAATTAAAATGTAAATTGTAATTCAGTCATGACACTCTCATCCATTTAAAGTTACCTACCTGGTTCCTGTAGCATTTGAGTTGGTGATCCCTGTTTTATGAGGGGAAAATCTAACACTTCCTTCCAGAAGAAAATGGTGGAATTTTGGAAGATTATACTATTTGCTTTGATACCCTCTAGATTATGTCTGCATTGATATCAGTATTCTTAAAAGATACAGAAATCACTATTAATCAACTAAACTAAGGGATTTAATTTTGGGAATAATAAAAAATGCAAACTTATAGGCTTAAATATATCAGGACAGGTGTGACCATTAACTCTGAAGTTTTTCTTAGATAATTTTTTAATTTATTATTTATTATTTTTATTTTTTATTTTTTTTATTAAAAAAATTTTTTTTAACATTCATTTATTTTTGAGACAGTGAGAGACAGAGCATGAACAGGGGAGGGTCAGAGAGAGGGAGACACAGAATCTGAAACAGGCTCCAGGCTCTGAGCTGTCAGCACAGAGCCCGATGTGGGGCTCGAACTCACGGACCACGAGATCATGACCTGAGCCGAAGTCGGCTGCTTAACCAACTGAGCCACCCAGGTGCCCCTAATTTATTATTTTTAAAATTTTTTTAACATTTATTTATTTTTGAGACAGAGACAGAGCATGACTGGGGGAGGATCAGAGAGTCAGGGAGACACAGAATCTGAAACAGGCTCCAGGCTCTGAGCTGTGAGCACAGAGCCCGACGCGGGGCTCGAACTCACAGACTGAGAGATCATGACCTGAGCCAAAGTTGGCCCCTTAACTGACTGAGCCACCCAGGCGCCCCATAATTTTTTTAATTTAAATTCAAGTTAGTTAACATACAGTGTAGTCTTGGCTTCAGAAGTAGATCCCAGTGATTCATCTCTTACATATGTGGTCATCCCAAAATGTGCCCTCCTTAATGCCCATCACCGATTTAACCCCCCCCCCCCAAAGCAATGAACTTTTATAGAATGTTTAGGATCACAGAGATCAGACTTGAATAGGGCAAGCTGTCCCACATTGGTGTCAAATGTTACATTTCAAAAAATCAAACTCTGATACCATTTCAAGAGTTGAGTCTCTAAAGCATTAGTTTGTGTTACAATTCAGCAGAGAGCTGAACTCACTTTAGAAGCAGTATATAACATTGAAGGAAAGGAACACACTTCAATTAGTAACAAGATTATCTAACACAGATCAGTTTGGTAGTTAAATAGTAATAAATTGTGAGGGTCCAACTGTTCTGCAAGACAGTACATATGCCTCCTCTCTCCTAAAAATGTAGCAGGGAGCATTTGGTGACTCTGAGTGGGAGCAGGAAGGAATTGAGAGACTGGGTCATCTAAACCTGCAAGGATTATTCATGAATGCATATGGAGTATATGTGTGCTAAGAGACATCACTTGTCAGGAAATACCTGTGTAACACATAACTACTAAAATTATGAATTCCACTGCCAGGCAGACCTCTTTTCAACTAGATTTGCTTATCCTGCTCTCTCGAGCTGCTCTGAATCTGAACAGGTGTATAGGTGGGCTGCCACAGGTCACAGAATTTGTCAGTGATGTGACACCTGAAAAACCCGTACAAAAGGGGGAGGCAAATGATAAAACTCAGGCTGATGCCACTGAATGGGGCCCAGATGATGAGGAAAGATGGACTACGACAAGCAGAAGCATCATCAGAAGCCTCCTTTGTACAGCTGCCCTCATCCCAACAAGTCGTATTGGACTCTAAACAGCAAGAGTGCCCCCAGCATTGTGAACTTAGTTCCTGAACCAGACTCCAAGTTTCATCATGTTCTGAACTCTGTGCACGCTATTCCCTTTGCGTAAACACTTGCCCCCTCTCACCTCCTTTCTGTATTTGACTACTTCTTGTCTATCCTTGAGATCTCAGCTTGAACATTAATACCTCTAGGAGCCCATCTTGACCTCCCAGACTAGGAAAGGTGCCTCTTGCTATTGTGCTCACAATCCCTCCAGAACTTGAAAGACACTGATCACACTGAATTGTAACCCCCTTGTTCACTATCCCCACATAGCTTCAGACTCAATGAAGCTAGATGCCAGGGCTGTCTTGCTCACAGTTCTATCCCTAATATGGAGTTAAGTTACTCAGAAGATGTTGGCTAGATGGTTGAATAAACTCAAAATGTCTGCTTCTTAGCTGATTCGGCTACTCTCAACTGGCCTCTAAGCTATGGGACTAGCTAGTGTTTGTGGACAAGACTTAGAAGATAGCCAACAATGGCCAACAATGGTCTCGATGCCTAACAGAGCTTCCCAAAAGGGAGAAATTCTTGGGACAAGTGAACAGATTCTGTATGGAGGCTGGAACTTCTAAAAAACCTGTCTGGAAAGAATGAGGTGGAAAAGGAGGATACACACGTGAAGGGGAGGAGGAAACTTGGAAATATCTCTTCAAGGCAAAGTAGAGGTGATAACATCTTGATCTGAAATTGAGAAGCACAGACCAGAGGTCAGATAATCTAAATAGATGAAGGAATTATTTCATGAAGTAAAGAACTCTACAGTGGAAGAAGCTATCAGAGCCCCCTTTAGGTGTAGATGGTGAATAGGAAGTCTGAGACGGTGTGAGAATTAGTTGGAGTCAATAAATGCTTGTCAATTGGGTTCCATTCTCTCCCTGATCGTGGGGAGCTTCTTCCATCTACCAACACTATGACTGATCTTGGATAAGACAGGGAGAGAGTCTTATCTAAGGGAGAGAGTCAGCAGACATCAGGGCTATTGGCAGATATCCTGGAATGATATAAGACCAAAGGGTGAGAAAAACACCAAAGAACTGACACCAGAAGCTAGCATCACTTTTCCAGTATGGAAGCTGGCTGGAATGTAGCTGGTTGTCAGAAAAGCACAGACTCTTTACCCACCCCTGTTCTTAAGGAGCACTGGTCTTTCCAAAGTGCTTCTAAAAAACCTTTGAAGCCTTTCCATGGTCCTCAGCAGAGAGTCAAGTTCCTTACTATGGCTTGCAAAGTCTGTGTTACTAGACTCATCTTTTGCCATAAGTAACCAGATAATTGCAGTGAGGAAATGAGTGGCCTCAATCCAGAGTGGACTGGGTCCTCTCTGATCAGAAGAATATGCAAAAGGAGAATAAGTCCAGTCTGGTTCTTCAAACAAATCTGGAAATTCCATCTGAAAAAAACAGGAATGAACTCTTTCCAGGGCAAGGTGTCAAGAGCTCCCTTCCTCTATCTCCAGCATCTTCTTAGGCTCTTCCTGCTTCTTTTGGGTCTGGGGACTCTAGGACCCCCTCTCTCCTCAGCCTGATCTGGGAAGGCTAAGCTATTTTCGGTGTCGAGCAACACTGGGCCCCACTTTTCCCCCAACCCAAGGAAGCTCTAGTAACAAACCATAGATAGGACTGACATGAGGAGTAGACCCACCATCCCCTACATGGGTGATACCCTGAGGTTTGTCAGATAGGGAAGTTACCTCCTCGACCCTCACTGGCAGCCGGCTTCACTTGGATCGGACGATTCATCTGAAAGACATTGGACCAACACACCTAGTCAGCATGACTGCCTGATCCTGGCACCCGGCTTCTCCTCCCCTGGATGCCTCAGGATCTAAGCCCTGGCTCCTTTGAACCCTGCACTCCACCACTCTCATGGTGGGCTATAGATTTTCTCCAAGATTCCTTCCTTAAACTGGGGAATTTAAAAAGTGCTGAAATCTGAAGGGTTGGTGATAGGAAGCTCGGTGGCAAGCCAGGATGGACCGTGGTAGTTAAAGAGATTCTGCTTTGGGCTCTGGGCCTGGACTATGTGCGCCTGTCCCTCTGGCTCCTGGACCTCCTTAAAGGTTTTAAGTGAGAGGAGTTGGGTGGGAAGGTGGAATTAAGACTGAAGATTTGTGTTTTGTTCTAAAACTGAGAATATAATTCTGTATGTCATTTAGATTAAACAAGCTGGGAATTGGATTCTGCCATTTAATGGTTGTATGACTTCAGTAAAGCCACCCTCTCTCAGATTCAGCTTGTTAGATGGGGGGAAGCCTTCCCAAGCTTCTGTATTACCAAAGTTCCTACAGTCACCCTCTCAGTTCCCTCCCTGGGTCCCCCTTCCCTTGAGGATGTTGGCATTCTCCAGGGCACCATCTTCAGCCCTGCTCATCCCACTGTTCCCGTTTTTCCTGGAGAGTCTCACTCACACCCACAGCCTCAGTTACCATGCTCACAGGGCTGACTCAGAGCTCTGCATCCCCAGCCCACACCTCCCTCCTGAGCCTAAGACCCATGTACCCAGCTGTTTGCTGGACAGCCTGACTAAAAAGTCCCACTGGCATCTTCCACTCAACGCACCCATACCAGAGCTTATCTTTTTGCCCGGACCTGATCCTTCCAGTCATCCAAGCTAGAAACCTGGAAAGCAGCTTGACTCTTCCCTTTACCCCCTCCCCCTCCAACTAATTTCACCTTCTAATTCAGGGGTTCCCTAATCAAGGGTAGATAAGAATCACCTGGGAACCATAGCAGACTCTCAAGTTAGGGGACTGTATAATTTGTAAAAGCTCCTAGGTGATTTCGACATACACCCCCACACAGTCCCATCCCCCAACCACCCTGAGAGAATTCATGATTGAATCCCCATCTCACCTTCCTCTCATGGGTGTTGTGGGGATCACATGAGATAATGGGGACGCAAAAGGTCTTTGTAAACTGCCAAGAGCTGGGTGCGTAGGAAGTGAGGAATTAATGTTGGGGGCAGACAGCTGAGTGCCGGGAGGAAAGAACAGCGGCCTTCCCGTTCATGGAGGAAGGGGTACTGATGCCCATCTGGCCTGAGAAGGTGATGATCTGACCCCCTCCCTTCAGGAAATGCACTGCTTCTGCACCAATCAGGGCCATTCCATCCTCTACCAATGTGCTCGTTGCCGAGACAACAGGCAGCTTCCTGTTACCATAGCCACAAGTGCTACCCAGTAACCATGGTAACGCCCTGGCAGTCACAGTTGAGCAATTTCCTTTGGATCAAATTTGGGGGTGGGGGAGTGGGGAGGGATTATTAAAAAAAAAAAAAAGGAAAGGAAAGGAAAGGAAAGGAAAACAGGCCAAGCCTGAACCAGTGCAATCCCCCTCCCACCCAGGGCTCAGGTTCTTATGCTCTCTGACACACCCACCCGCTGGTGGTGGAGCCCCTGCAGTGTACCAGGTTGAGGGTGGGGGCCGAGACACCGACAGGACTCAGGCTGCAGTCTAGAGGGGATGACAGATCAATCCAAGCAGATCAGGGCGAGCTGGGCAGGTCTGGATTGGCCGGGACCAGGGACCAGGAGGAACGGGAACTGTCCCTGGGCATGGCCACCTGTGATTGTGGAGGAGAGACCAAGAGACAGAGCCATGGAGAGCATAGAAACAAGGAGAGATGAAGAGACACAGGAAGACAGAAACGATGAGAGAAAGAGACAGACCTAGAAAGGGGCAAGGAAAGAGAGAAATATTGGTGGATATGGGAAGGAAACGAAGGGATAAGGGGTCAGGAAGGGGATGCAGGAAAGGCAGGGAGGAGTGTGGCAGGGGAGAATGAAAGAGGGGAAGAAGCCTGGGGTGGGGGGGGCAGTGAGGGTGAGCAAGACCATCATTATTTTATTAGTTCTTAAATAGATCCTGAGAATTTCTCTCTGGAACCTAGAGTGACAAGCACATGTGACAGCAGTGGTTTCCATGGCAGCTGCCTCCCCGGCTGGGTTTCTGGAGAGATGGAGCTCATCAGTGCTCTGGGGGACACCCCTTTCCCCTCCCCCACTACACCACTCTTTAATGGAGGGTGGGCATTAGGTGGTATATACATGTCCCATAGACCTGGCAGGGTCCAAGCCTCAGAGTCTGGGCACCTGGGCTTTCCACCATGCGGGCATTTCCTGAAATCTGTGAAGAGCCCCAGGCTAGGCCCTTCACAGGAGACAACAACCTTGGGGAATCTGTCCTCAATGGTTTTTAGAGAGGAAGATAATCGCCACCATTTCCTAAAAGTCCACTATACACCAAGCCCTTTCTGGGACACTTTACATATATTGTCTCTAAATTCCTTCCAACTTCTCTGCAAGGTAATATCATTATCCCCATAGTACAGATGGGGAAGTTGAGGCTTAGGGAGGTTAAATCACTTGTTCAAGATCACGTGATGGGTAAGTGGTTGAGCTGGGATTTGCCCCTAGGCCTATCTGATGCTGAAGCCCATGTTTTTGTGTTGTGCTGCTCAACTCCATTCTTAAGACATGAACACAAGTAATGAGGCACAGAGTGACCAGGGCCTTAGGAGGAGTGCAAAGTACAGTGCTCTGGGAGAGGCTGACTCCAGCTGGAGAGGTTGACACAGGGAAAGCTTCACAGAGGAGGCAAAGTTTGACCCGGGCCTTGCAGGACTGGGGTCATTGGGCCACATGGAGATAATGGGAGAGGTAGAGCTGGAGCCTGAGCACTCCAGATGGCAGGGGGTTGGAAAGGGAGCTGCAAGTCTAAAGGAGCAAGGATTCTGGTAGGCACCTGGCATGGAGGTAGCCAGGGCACAGCAGATTGATTCTGAGTCATATAGATGTGGGTTTAAATTGCGACTCCATTACTGGCAACTTCTTTAAGGTCTTTGAGTCTCAGTATTAGTAAAAGGGGAAATCATGATCCCACCTTGCAGTGTTGTGTTTGTTTTTAATGGAAGGGTGTAAAACTGAAAGGTAGCCAATGGCCGGGTTGGGGCAGGTTGTGAAAATCACAACAAGGAATTTTGACTTTGTTGTACTTCAAAGGCAGTAGGGATCCAGGGAAGGATATTAAGTAGCGAAAGATCCCATGAGCTATCACTGTGCAGAGAAAAGATTAGAAAGGGAAAAATTAGAAATAGGAAGATCACTAATACAGGTAAGGGGTGAGGGTGACCTTAACCAGGGCGTAAGGAAATAGACATGTTCAAGAGATATTTAGGATGATTAGCTGGACTAGAGTTCTATTGGATGTGGGAACTGAGGGAGAGAAGGAAATACTGGCTGACTTTTAGGTTTATGGCTTAAATGTTGAGGATGTTGGTAATTTGGGAGTTTGGAGATGCAGGGGAAGTCTCAGGGGAGGAGGAGCCCAAGAGGATGAGGACAGAGTTGGAGAGAGGTGGTTCTCCTTCGGTCCCCACTGGGAAATGGTTAGGGAGGACACCTAGGATTTAGGTATGCTCTGTGTGGCTGAAGGAGAAAGAGAGCTATCTACATGAACTGCCTAAGCAACCCTACTCTGCCTGGTTCCTGTCACAGTCAGGGGAGAGATGTGGAAGTGGGGTAAGGTAATCCCAGTTCCCCTTTTAGGAAAAGAGGGTATTGCCTCCTTGGCCAAGAATTTGTCATGGGACCTCAGGTGAGCTCTTGCCCTTGGCTGAGCACCTATTCCCTTGAGAGTTTCCCAGGTAGAGTCCAGGCCCATATCTGCTTCAGGGCCAGCCCTGGGGGGAAAATCAAGGGAGATAATGTCAGAAAGAGGAGAGAACAACCTATTGCAGGCAGTGGAGTGGAGTGGGGAAGGTTGGAGGTAGCACAGAGGCATATGAGGCCCTGGGACTTTGACCACCATGAGCAGGAGGGAAGGCAAGGCTCTACCCCTTCTCCCTGCTTGACTTGCATAAAATTGGGCTCAGCATTGCCCTCTTCAGACATTTCTGCCTTGATGCCAACTATTCCTAACACTGAGCACCTGTGCCCTCAGCCACTTCCACCATGGGAAGAATATTTATCAGGATTACTGGTGGGTCTAAGAGAGGTGTCATGGATGCAGGGAAAAGTGAAGAAGAGAAAAAGCAAACTACACCATTTTCAGCTCTTTGCTCTACTTCACCTCTTCTTCTAATTCAATCCACTGCCAAGTCCCACTGGTTCTCGAGTCTATATGGATATCCTAAACAACTCTCAAGTTTATCCTACCCTCCCCATTCCTGCCCTGTCTCCAGCTCCAGGTCAGCACCATAATTCAGCTGCACTCAAGCAACAGTGTCCTAAAGGATAATCTGCCTCCAATATTGCTTCATCTTTCAACTCAACCATCACACTGTAGCTGGAGTGAGCTTTTGAAATCAACCCCTCACTCTTTCCTTACTAAAATCCATCCACAGTTCTCCATTTCAAGCCTCTCAATAAAGCCAGAGATCCTAAGACTGGCAGTCCAAACTTGTGGGTCCTGCCTCCCTTGCTGCCCAAAATACACAACACTCCATTCACAGGGAGCCTTGGCCTTCTCCATTGGACATCTTCGCTGCCAGTTTTTACACTGTACCTAGAATTCCAGAAGTTGCCTTGTCTTTTAGTTTTCTAGACCCTCAAATGTGATGAAATATGGTTATGACTGGGCTCAGATAGCATCTCCACTGTGAAGCATCTCCTCTGTCTCCACTCTGATGCCCTTTTATGTGCCTAGATGTAAATCCCACTGAGATGCAATGAGTTATTTCTGGGCTGGAAAAGCTCCTTGAGGCCAAAGGCTCCAATTCACTCACTGGGTGGCTGCTAGCACATATAGTGCCTTTGTGTGAGTTACAAAAAGGCACTCCCCCAACGATGGGATGAATTAGAAAAAAAAAATGTGCCTCCCCCTCTGGGCTGACACAGCCCTGTGATAATGTGCATGGCTTGGTCAATAGAGCATGGCTAGATTTTAGCCCCCACTTGCCCTTTCCACTCAAGCTGTTTTATGCTGGGCACAACTTGCAAAAGCAAGTGCACTGTTATGTCTGTCTCCTTCACAGTGTTTGAAGGGATGGATGTCCAAGGGAAAGGTGGTCATGGGCAAGGATAGAGACAAGTAGGAGGGCACCTTCTGGGATAAGGTTGGCCTTACCTTCTTTAGGTGGATTCTGGAGCCTAAAATGAGGCTGCAAGAAGTAGCTTCAGCTTTATAGAGAAGAAGCTACAGAAGGTGGGACAGACCACTGAGGTTTAAAGAAAGTCCTCCTGAGTAGGGAGCCCAGTTTTGATAGGTGACAGAAATTAGCAGAGGCACATGGAGGGGAGTCATGGTGAGGTCCCAGTCCAGTAGATACTATGACATTTTTCCTAGGGGTTCAGGATTTTTCTCTGGGGAGACAACCATTCCTGCTCCCACAGTGACTATCCTTCTGGTCTCTAGTAGGAGCCCAAATTGAAGTCTTTCCTTGCTTTTCCAGTAGATGGCAGCTGTGCCCAGGACCCAGTGTCTACAGAGAGCTGGACACCCTCCTCCCTTCATGCTGGTGGGACTGAGGCCAGGTGACTAAAGCTGCTACTGCCCCTGGCAGGCCCAGAGGAAAGATTGATGGCACGGACATTGCTTGGGCTGGCCAACAGAGCCATTGATTTTCATTTAGGAGAATAATTAAATATTAATTTGCACTTTGTTAAGCTGAGGACGGTGAATAAAGCCAAACCTGCAGTACGGGACGAAGCCAGGCCATGTTGGAAGCCTGCAGATGAAAGGGTGGGAGAGGGCAGGTGCATCCAGTCACCACCCCCTTCAGAAACATGGACCCCTGTCTGCCACCAGCTTGGTCCAGATAATAGTGTAGTGGTTAAATGAGTGAGTTCTGGAGTCAGACTACCTGGATCTTCCCAGATCTTCCTACCAGTAGCTACCTAACCTTGCACAAGTCACTTGTTTCCTTTGACTCATCTGTAAAGTGGGAATGCCAATAACAATAGCTTCTTCACAGAGTATTAAGTGACTTTGAGAATGCAAAATTCTAGGAACACTGTCTAGTATCAACAAATGCTAGTTATTATTATTTCTCGTTTCTCCTTCAGAAATTATCCCACTAATCTAGAGCTCCACAGCCCTTATCTCAGGTGCCCTCAGCCTCATAAAGTCCTCTCTTTGTGGAGCCCTGTGGCTGGTTGAAGAAGGTTTTTTTTTTTTTTCCCCTCACAAAGTTCATCTTAATTTTTTCAGTGTTCCCATTTGCTTTCAGGATAAAGTCCAAATCCTTCACCCCGGAATCCAAAGTTTCCTCTTCAGCCACTGCTCTCTGGTGGGTCTTCTCTCTGGCCTGGCCCATGCTCACCCAGGCCTTCCTCTAAACTCCCAATCCCATTTCACACCCATCTTGTTCCTTCTGTCTACGCACCTTTCCCATGCTGTTTCCCACATGGAATGTTACAGTTTGTGTCAGTGACTTTCAATTTTAGCAGCAGAAGTCACTTATTCCCATGGTTGGATGAATAATAACTTCTACTCCTACTCCTACTAACACTGCTGTTACTGTCACTACTGCCGCTGCCACCAGGTAACCTGTACTGAGTGCTTACTGTCTACCAAGAACTATGTTAAGCACTTTACATGAGTTAGTTCACTTAATTACTATAACAATTCTATGAATTCAGTTTTACATATGAAGATGCTTAGGCTTAGAAGTAAAGACTTGCCCAAGGTCACAGAGTTAGTGAGTGGTAGGGCTTGGATCTACACCCATGTCTGTTTGACTCCAGAGCCTGCACACAGAAGCCTGGTAGCAGTAATACATTGGTGTTACTGGATGCTGAGTCTTCAAGAGTGAGGCTTGAGTTGCTTCAATTACTGGGATTTGTCCTAGGACCTGACCCACTCACAGCTTGATCAACTCTAGGTGAAGCTTGTGCCACTGCTGGACAGTTCCAATTCAGAGAAATTATTTCTTTATACTGAGCTGAAATTAGTGTGTCTGTTCTCTATACCCGCTGATCCTGGTCCAGCCCTCTAGAGCCACCCATAGAAAACCAAATCCCTCTTCAGAATTTGAAGGCGGTTACCCTCACCCTACCAGTAATATTTACTGAGATCTTCCCCTGTGCCAGGCACTTGCTAACCTCAGTTAATCCTCACAATAGCCCAGTGAGCTAAGTGTTAGTATAACTCACTCCTTATAGATGAGGAAATTGAAGCTCCAGAGTCTAAGTAATGTATCATGAGACACAGAACCGGTAAATGACAGAACAGAAATTCAAATCTAGGTCTGTTGAGACTCAAAAAGTCATATTTTTAATCATTATGTTATGATGCCTCCCTGTAGAAGCCCCCACACCCTATCTTCTCCAGCCAAATATCTCCAATTTCTTCAAATCATCATCCATGATATATTTTATTTCTGCATCCCATCCTTGTCTCTTTCTGATAGGCTAATGACCCTCTTAAATCTGAGGCTTAAAAATGGATATAGTCCCAGGCATGGCATTTGAATAGTGCTCTTTTTGTAGACATATCATTCCTTTGACAAGAGAAAATGAAGCTCTGTTGTCTGGTTTGCTCTTGGTGAACCCACACTAGTTCCTAACAATCACCACTTTCTTTCTGCCACATGGTCCGTAGGTCCTACTTTGCCTTTGGTCCAGTGATTAGCCATTAGCTAAGGCCATATCAGGTGCCATTGATATATAGTGGTCTAACTGCTCATATAATCAGGTCCTCTTAGCTTTGGGGCTTCCTGAAACCTCCAAATACTCTTCCTGGAAAGATTCCATTAGTTGACAAACTCAAGGCCACTCTTCTTTAAACAAGGGCACTGCTCTGAGAAGCCTCTGTCTCCTACCTTCTCTGAAGGGAGGGGCTTCATGTGTTTGAGTCCCAGACTCTGGCTCCCTCTCATTTGCTCCTGGCTTCTTGCCTAGGGAACATGTGTACCCACATCCAGCCAAGTGTTTGGGGAAGAGGAGGGAAAGTAATCTTGGTGACTCAAGGCACCCCAAAAAAAACATTACAGGAAGAGGACAGAGGGAAGTGCTATTAAGGACTCTAGAACTGGAAAAAGTAAGATACCAGCTCAGCAGGGTCTCTACCTCATGTATCTGCATATATTCTCACACCAGTGACAAATGACACTTTAAGCCATGATTTTAGCCAGTGCGGACAAATTCTAGCATAACACACAAAACTGATGCCTCTCTGAAAAGATGGGGTGGAATACTTGGTCCAAGTGTTAAGCCCATTTCTTTGAGCCGGAAGAGTAAATATAACAAGAATTGATAGCTGTTCAGGGCATACGTAAGCCCTGAAAAGTGACTCTGCTTCTAGTTCCTGGCCCCAACCCAGTTCCTGGCCAGTTCCTGGCCCCAACATGCTGCTTTGGCATGCACATAAGGCATGTCCCCAGCCTGAGGTGATCCCCACCCCCCAAACCTGGTGGACTTACCCCTGGCAGGGTCTTCTGCTCGTGCAGTGCACTCTGGGCCTTGAGAGCAGAGTCCCGGGCGCAGTAGGTGAGGAAGGCACAGCCTGGGGAGGAAGAGGCTGGCTCAGGGGATTTCCTGAAACCCCCAAATACTCTTCCTGGAAAGATCCCATTAGTTGACAAACTCAAGGCCACTCTTCTTTAAACAAGGGCACTGCTCTGAGAAGCCTCTGTCCTCCACCTTCTCTGAAGGGAGGGGCTTCATGTGTTTGAGTCCCAGACTCTGGCTCCCTCTCATTTGCTCCTGGCTTCTTGCCTAGGAAACATGTGTACCCACATCCAGCCACATGCTCATACAGTCCCACATCTCCCCTCCCCACTTCAGCTATAAGTCCGGTTGGGGTTAAACCTCCCTAAGCGGCTTTGCCTTCAGCTTTAACCCCAGCCTCCCCCTTCCTTTTCAGATTCATACTCACAGAGTCTCCCAGAATCAGCCTCAATTCCTTCCCAACTCAGTTTCAGATGAGAGGAGGCCAAAAGGAGGAAAATTGTTGACAGCCAAGCCCAGCACCCCACAACTTCTTAACACCTCCCTCCGCCAAGTTTGAAGCTGAGGAATAGGTTAATTTGAGGCTTGCAAGATGGGGCTGGCTTAAGGACTTTCTGTAGAGAAGAGCTTTCATGGACCTCCAATCCTATCCAAGGAGCTTGGCCTGTCAGCTCTCCCAGTGCTTCAACATAGAGCCTGTTAAAGGGTTATTGTGCCCTAAATCTTACTTCTCTAAAGGATCCAGTAGTTATGGGACAGAGAATGTGTCTGGGTTGAGCCACAGGGTCAGTCCTACTCCTCTTTGTTCAGACTCAGAAAGTGTAGCCTGCTAGGAAGCACTGAGCCAGGGATCCTTCCTTTCCAACAGTCATTGAGCACTCACTCAGAAAATATTTGTTGAATACTTATTTACTTATTATGGTGGGCATTATAATGGGCTTGGGATGAAGTGGTAACAAGACAGACACATTCCCTGTTCTCATGGGGATTATGTAAAGGATCATGAGGGGCACATAATTTGAGTCCAAAGGGTTGAAGAATGTTTCAAAGAACACATTGAGTCCTCAATAACAAATAGGGCTTAACCAGGTGACAAGAAGGGTGGTGAAGGAAGCTGAAGGAACAGCACGTATGAACAGTTTCATACAGCATGTATGAAGACTGAAGCAAGAATTTGGTGTGTTGGGGAAATGGATAGAAGAGTAGTATGGTTGGAGATTGGTGAAAGGAGGCAGAGAGGACAGTGAGGTGTGCAGGGATCAGGTTATCTATAACCTTGTATGCCTCAGTCTGGATTTTGAACTTTTCCTTAGGAGCAGTGAAGAACCACTAAAGGGTTTTAAGCAGGACTCTGGCAAGATAAGATCTGTGTTTTCAAAAAGAGCCTTCTGCTTGTGGGAAGGAGAAAGACCGAAGGAAGAGAAAGTGGATGTGAGAAGCCATTAGGAGCTTGGTGAAGTTTTCCACTTAGACCTCAGCCGACTGCAAAGGCAAAGGGGATCATTTTCTGTGATGTCTTCCAAGTGGCTGCCCCCTTCAGGTGGGTGGCTATCTGCTATTCATTGACTTAAAGGGACCTTAGAGAAACCTGGGACAAACTCTTACTGTATTAACAGGGAAACTGAACCCAGACAGTGTGCCAGGGGGAGAATAGGGTTTAGAATCTCCTAACTCCTAGACTGAGGTTTTTTCAAAGCACTGTGGCTGCCTCCCTCAGTACCCAGCCATCAAAAGGAAAATGAGTCACTCTGGCTTTTGGGTGTCACTATTGCTGGGGAGAAAGTGGGGAATATATTGACACAGAGACACTTCCAATCATCTTGCAAGGCAACCCTGCTTTGGAGAGCTGCAGGTTGGTTTGGGGACAAATCGCCAAACACCTGATTTCGCTTACATCTCTGCTTCATCTTCTGCCACTAAGCCATATCAGCTGACGTCAGAACTGGGCAGGGCTGGGGCCCAGTCTGAAAGGCTCAGGGGCCCAACTGCTGCCCAGAGGAGCCCCATTTGTACTACCTGGGATAGGGGGTGGGAAAAGGAGGGATGGAAAGACAGAGAAGCATGGCTAGAGGGAGAGACAAATGAAAATTTAAAAACAGGAAGAATTAGAGCTAAATGGAGAAAAAGAACGGATAAGAGAACATTTCAGAGACTCTGATGGTGTTTGAATGAGAAGAGTGAGAATTAAAGGTATCTTATACGCTTCCCAGATGGCCCAGAAAGATTAGCTTGTGCTTACATACGGAAATAAATGTCTAGAAAATAAGAAAGTAAGTTGCTATGGATGGATGGACAGCCAGGCAGCTGGACTGCATTAGAAGGAATCAGGATGATATAGTTTTATTCTTTCATGCCCCTTTTAAAGTAACCCCACCTCCAAGTGTGGAAGAGGCACTGCTACCTAGCTGGTCCCAGACCTTCTGTGGGCATCTTCATGAAGCCCCTGTATAAGTGTGCTTCCCAGATGAAAAGAGGTGGCAGCCTGATTCCTGCTCTCAGCCCTTAGGAAAGTACCTTTAGCTGTTACCCAGGACCGGCCACTTTTGTCCTAGAAAAATCATGGAGAATAGTTGGTGACCCTTACCCTTCAAATCCTAAAACTGAAGCATGGTGAAGGTGGGGTAAGATAGAGACCCTTACCCCTCAAATCCTGAAACTGAAGCATGATGAAGGTGGGGGAGAGATAGAGGTGTTTCTCCTCAAATAATTTCTATCCCCTGCCCATGTATGACATGTGACTCTGGCTCTCTTACTCCAGCCCAGCCTGGACAGACTTTTCTGCATGTAAACAAGCCTCCTCCCTCTCTCTACAGGAAGAAAGGGGTGTGGCTGGACAGAACTGTGGTGCCTGTCTCTCTAACAAGGGCAGGGAGAAAATCCCTTCTGCCTCTTCAAACTGACCCACCCTGAGGTTCTGATCCACAGGCTCTCTTGGACCTGCCTGCGAAGGAGGGAAAGCAGGAGTCCATAAAGAGGATTGGGGAAGGGTATAGATGAGGCACAAGAGTGGGGAGATTAGAGGATGAAAGAAGTATGGGTTCAGCTGAGAGGAAACCTGAAATGAGGGGGCACACAGGTGGTAGATTTTCCCAGTTGAGGTCAGGGTTCTGGACTCAAGTCAGAAGAGGCAGAGAGTGTTGGGATTCTGGCAGGGGGAGGAGAGATGGGGTTATTGTCAAACATGAGGGTGGAATTTGAAGCTGAGAGCCTCCTCGAGGGGAATTGGATTTTGTGAGTTAGCCAGGCCTGGGTTCTGAAGAAGGGAAGAATTGGGGCTTGGGGGGTTTTAAGTTAGCAGTCTGCATCAAAAGAAGGCTCTGGGGGTTGGCTGGGCTTGGAGGCCAGAATGAGGGGTACAAGTCGGAGACATGTGTGTGGATGGTTAGGCCTGAGTGGGGTGGCACCAGATTGGGAGAGAGGGTCAGAAATGATTGGTCCAGGGTTTGGGAAATTGAGACCCAAAGGTCAAATAAGTTTTCAAATTTCAGGATTTGGAATGTCTGATGAGAGGGATGGAGGGAGGTCCGACTGAAAGGTTGGGACTGTTGGGATGTGAGAGGTGAAGGGTAGGGAGTTAGAGGTTAGAGTGGAGAACACGCCAGAGGATCAGAGTGGTGATCAGAAGGAGGATGTCGGAGAGAAAATTCTGGCCTGGGGGTTCTGTGATCTGGGGAGGAGACTGGGCTGAAGTGGGGCTGGTATTGGACTGATGTTGGACTGACTCTAGGTAGGGCTAAGGTTGGGGCTGCGGTTGAGGCTGGGGTTTGGGCTGGGCCCACTCTAATCGGATTGGGGCAGGGCTGGGCTGGGCTGGGCTGGGCTGACCCCGCGCACCTTTGTGGAGGCCGGTGAGCCGGTCCTTCAGCACCGTCAGCTCGTAGATGCGGCCGAATTCCTCGAACAGCGGCTTGAGATCCTGCTCGTCCAAGCCCCGCGGGATCTGCCCCACGAAGAGCTTGATGGCGTCGTGGTCCTTCATGGGCACGGCAGGACCGGGGTTTAGCCCGCTCATGCCGACGCCGCTGTCCGCGGTGCTGAAACCCAGGCGCGGGCCGGGGCCGGCGGGCGGCGCAGACCCTCCGGGCGCCGCGGCCATATCCCCGCCCGGTCCGCCCTCCCGCCGGTCCCACCAGTCCCGTCTGTCCCGCCGTCCCCTCCCTGGACCAGTGGTGAGGGCCAGGGGGGAGGGGGCGGGGTCCAGGCGGCGAGGGCGGGGGGCTGCACAGGGGGCGGGGCCCGGGTGGAGGGGCGTAGAGGGGGTGGGGCAGGCTGGAAAGGGGCGGGGCCGGGGGCGGGGCAGGACCGGGCCGCGGCGGCGGGACGCTGGGGTCTGGGTTGAGGTCCCCGCGCGGCGCTATCCGGGCTCCCGCCCGAGCTCTCCCGGAGCCGAGCCCCGAGCCCCAGCCCCCGTGCTTGGTGACGTCAGGCAGCTGGCCGCGGAGTCTACGCAAATGATTTGCATAATGAGGAAGCAGCGACCAATCAGAGCTGCAATTGACCGGGCTTGGCCGGGGGCGGGAGGGGCGCCTGGGCTCACGCGCTCCTGTTCGCCATGGCAACCGGACCCTCGGACGCCGTGTGTGTGTCTAGTGTGTGCGGGCGTGGCTGTGGATGGCGCGTGTGCGCCTTGGACCGCGTGAGGGGAAGTAGCTTCGTCATGCGTGGTGATGTCTGCGGGAGTCGGAGCTACCCCCTCCTCACACACAGACACAGGCACACACGCAGCCACACACACCTCCAATCACTGGAGCGTTTCCTGCGGGGGTGGATGGGGATTCCTCTTCTTCATTCCCACTACCAAAGCCAGTTCCTCCGGGGCGATCCCACCCCGCCCCATCACACATCTCTCCTCGGTGTCTTCATCCACTTCCTTACCCACGAGCCTCAAACATGTTCGTCTACCCTGCATCCCTCCCCGACCCCCTCCCCCCATAAAAGCAAAAATAAATTTTTAAAGAGAGAGAGAGAATAAAACAAAACAAAACTCTTAAACACTCCCTGAATACAGATTCCTCTTCAGGAAAGTGATGGAACTTATATTAGCCATATTTGCTCAGTTGCCTCGTTCATCTCAATTCTGAAGTGTTGTCCTTTTCCGGAAAAGGGAGCTGTGGGTCTGAGAGTTAAGGAGGTTAGGACAGGCCAGCCCCTAACATCTGCTGGGCCCAGGGTAAGAGAAGAAAGGGAAATAGACATACCATGTATCTAAATATTTAAAAGATACAAATCAAGTTACAATTTGTTAAATATGTTCCCCTCTAATTTTCAGAAATACACAGCTATAGTAAAAATGAAAAGTATGTGTAAAGCTATTTTTTATATGGCTGAAAGTTGGCAAAATATCAGAGCTGATGGAATCTTATTACTCTTGTTTATTTCTGAGTAGTCTCTTGATTGGCTAGTGATGTTTGAACAGAAGAATCCACTACGGATAAATAACATAAATTCTATAATTATTGCACAAAACGTTTTCTTGATTTCTTTCAATAAAATTGCTAACCTCTGCCCATTGACTATTCCAAGAAACTTCAAGAGTAGCAGTAGTAATCGGAATCAACAAAATATTCTTTCAGAAAGACTCAAATTCAGAAATAAATTGTGATTTTAATTTTTTTAGCTTTTAATAAAAGTTACTTTTAATTACCTAATTATGAAATGTGTTACCAGAACATTTTGCTTTCATTCAGTTTGATATATATTTTTAACTTTCTTCAAACTTCCTCTTTGACCCATGGATTATTTATAAGTTTATTGTTTAGTTTCCAAGTGCTTAGAGACTTTCCTGTTACTGATTTCTAGTTTGAGTCCACTTTGGTCAGAAATAATCTGTATGATTTCAATTATTTTACATTTGTTGAGGATTTGTGACCCTCAGAATATGCTCAATCTTTGTAAATGATTTGGTGGTGCTTGAAAAGAATGTATAAATGCTCATTAGAGCCTGTTGCTTGACGATGTTGTTGGGTTCTTCTATATACTTGCTGACTTTATGTGTAGTTATTTTATCAACTGTTAACAAAGGGGTGTTGATGTCTCCATCTGTAATTGTGAATTTTATTATTTCTTCTTTCAGTTCTATTAGTTTTTGCTTCACATATCTTGCTGTTCTGTTGATTGGTTCATACAAATTTAGAATTGTTATGTGTTCTTGGTGGATTGACTCTGATCATTATGTAATGTCATTCTCTGTTTTTGATAAATTTCTTGCTCTGAGATCTACTTTATCTGATATTAATATAGTGACTCCTGGGGTGCCTGGGTGGCTCAGTCGGTTAAGCATCCAACTTCAGTCCAAGTCATGATCTCACAGTTTGTGAGTTCTAGCCCTGCATTGGGCTCTGTGTTGACAGCTCAGAGCCTGGAGCTTGCTTCAGATTCTGTGTCTCCCTCTCTCTCTGCCCTTCCCCTGCTCACACTCTGTCTCTGTATCTGTCAAACATAAATAAATGTTAAAAAAAATTTTTTTTAAATATAGTGACTCCTGATTTATTCTGGTTAGTGTTTGCATAGTATATCTTTTTCTATCCTTTTATTTTCAACCTACCTGCACTGTTATATTTGAAGATAATTTCTTATAGACAGCACATAATTGGGTCATTTTAAAAATCGAAGCTGTCAATCTTCACAGGAATTTTAATTCCTGTATTTAGACCATTTACATTTAATGTAATTATACATACATCAGGGCTCAAATCTGCCACTTAGCTTTTTGTTGTTGTTGTTTTGTTTTTTCTTTTGCCTTCGTTAGGATTGCCTGTTCCTTATTCTAGGTATATCATACATAAATGTCACAGTTTACTGGCGTTGACATTTTCCCAGTTCAAGTGACGTACAGAAAACTTACCTACTCTTAAGTTCCTTTATATTCCCTCATTTATAATATAATTGTCTTAAATATATTCTCTCTGTGCTCTGAGAACCACATCAGAGATGTTACTCAAAAACAATTTGGAAAACTGGAGATGCAATAAAACTTCTTGTATATACCCACACATTTGTTCCTTCCACTGCTCCTTTCTCCTTCCAGATAATCGAAGATTCCTTCTTTTATTGTTTCATTTATACTTTAAAAACTTCTTTAGGTTGTTCTACTGATGGCAAATTCTCTAAGTTTTCATTCATCTGAAAATGTCTTGGTTTATTCTTTCCTGAAGGAAATTTTTGCATATAAAGTTCTGGTTTGACAGTTCTTTCTTTCAGCACTTAAAAAATGTTGTGTCACTTTTTAAAAATGGCATCCATAGTTTCTGATGAGAATCTTTTGTCATTCAAATTGTTCCCTGCCCCCCACCACCATAGGTAGGATGTCCTCTCTTTTTCTCTGTTTTCTCTGTCTTTAGTTTTCAGAAGTTTGACTGTGATTTGGCTTTATCTTGTCTTGCCTTTGCTCTGCTTCTCTAATCTATCGAGTTTGGCCTTTTGCTAAATTTTGATCGTTTTCAGCCATTATTTTTTCAAGTACTTTTATAGCCCCTTCCTCTTTCCCCTTTCTCCAGAATTATGACGACAGGAATGTTAGATATTTTGTTATAATCCCATAGGTCCTTGAGGTTCTGTTAAATTTTTAAGTCTATTTTCTCTCTGTTGTTCAGATTGGGTAAGCTCTATTCTTTCTTCAAGTTCACTGATTCTTTCCTCTGTCATCTACATTCTGATGTTTGAGCCAATCTGGTGAGTTTTTATTTTGGTTTTGGTATTTTTTCAGTTCTAAATTTTCCATGTGGTTCTTATTAATATCTTTTATTTCTTTGCTGAGACTTTTTTTTTATTTGTTTCAAGTGTGTTTGTAATTGCTCGTTGAAGCATTTTATGATGGCTGCTTTAAAATCTTAGGCAGTTAATTCCAACATCTGTTTCATCTCAGTGTTGGTACCTATTAAGAAATTCCAGTATTTTCTTTTGAAACTTTGAATATTTAAAATTTCTGTTTTAGCAGGTCTCCTTTGGCCCTACACTAGCTGAGAAACAGGGACACAGCCTTGTTACTGACAGGTGTGGATTGAAGTTCAGGTTTCCTATTAGGTCTCTGCTAAAACCACCCTGAATGGGAGGGAAAGAGGTCTTATGACTACTGGATGGAGGTAGAAACTTCCAACTAGGCCTCTTTGACTCCATTCCAGCAAAGAGGGAGATGAGTCCCATGTGATCTTCAGTGAAGCCACAGAAGAGGAGCTTGCTGATGTTGGGTAGGGATGAAAGTCCTACCTCCCCATTTGACCTTCTCTGACACCATCTTGGTGGTGGGAGGAAAAGCGGTACCTTCTTACAGCCATAGGCTGTAAGAGTAACTGAATCAGAGTTGCTGGGGTGGTACATAGGCATAGTGTTTCAAAGCTGCCCTGTTGCTTTTAATGTGCTTGCAAACAATTTAAAAACTACTGCTTTAGAATTTCCTTTACTGAGGAGTCTGTTGGTGGTAAACTTTGCTATGCTTATCTGGAAATTCAGTATTTTGGCCTACTTCTTGAATCATAGCTTAGTGAGTGTACAGTTATTTTCTCTCAACATTTCGAAGATATTATTTCATCATTCTTTGGTTTCCATTTTTGCTTATGAGAAGTCAACTAATGGTCAACTAACTTGTCATTTCTCTGCAGGTAATTGGATTTTCCTTACTGGTGCTCTTAAGATCTTATTTTATTTTATTTTTTAAATTTTTATTTATTTTGAGAGAGAGTGTGAGCATGCACAGGAGAGGGGCAGAGAGAGAGGGAGAGAATCCCAAGTAGGCCCCACAATGGCAACGCAGAACCAGATGCGGGCTCAATCTTATGAAGCTATCTAAGAGAAAGTTTCCCAGGGAACCAAACCTGCAATATCCCATTCTTTGTAGTCACTCCTTCAGAAAATCTGGTTAAGATATGTCATATTGTCTTAGTCTGTCTCCCTAACTCTTTCTCTTTCACAGCATCCATCACCTTGAGCTCCTTTAATGCATTTTGGGCAATTTCCTAAGAGCTTTTACTTTAGATTAGCTCACTAATTTTCTTTTCAGCTATTTTTTTTATGAATTATTATTTTAAGATATTTATTTACAGGGGCACCTGGGTGGCTCAGTCAGTTGAGCATCTGACTTTGGCTCAGGTCATGATCTTGCTGTTCAAGCCCCACATCACCTCACTGCTGTCAGCCTGTTGGTGCACAGCCTGCTTCGGATCCTTTGTCCTCCTCTCTCTGCCCCTTCCCCACTTGTGCCCTCCCCAAAATAAATAAATATTAAAAAAATATATATTTTTTCTCATTGCTTCTCAGCCTTTTGGCCAAGATCAAGTGTAAAAAAATATATTTCTTTACAAAATTTTCTAGCATATTGACTTGGGAAATTTTAGTTAAATGTGTTTTAAATTTTTTTTTCAACGTTTTATTTATTTTTGCGACAGAGAGAGACAGAGCATGAACGGGGGAGGGTCAGAGAGAGAGGGAGACACAGAATCGGAAACAGGCTCCAGGCTCTGAGCCATCAGCCCAGAGCCTGACGCGGGGCTCGAACTCACGGACCGCGCGGGGCTCGAACTCACGGACCGCGAGATCGTGACCTGGCTGAAGTCGGACGCTTAACCGACTGCGCCAC